ACAGCCAACACAGAGGTAAGTATCACTGAACTAAACCTGCAGCTAAAAATCATTAACGGAATAGCAAAAACACTGCATTTTGAAGAGTCACTGAGTTTAAAACACATTATGGATCAGACCAACGAATCCAAAATGGTCCAAAACCTAGTGAGCTGAGCATTGTTTCATAAACAAAGGCATGTGACGTTACCAAAAAGACATCTTTTGGCTAAAGGCAATAACATATGGAAGCCCAATTGCAAGTTTTTATATGAGAACAAAAGTCAGAATTGTGAGATATAAACTCAAAATTGCGATTCTGAAAAATAAAAAGATTAAATTGTAAGTGAACTGTGAGATAAAAAGTCGCAATTACCTTTTTTAAATTTGTTTTATCCAGTGGCAGAAACCAGCTTCCATAATAACATGATCAATTAGAAAACTTCAGTAAAATATCAACACATTAATATCATATAAGTAATCATACAACATCAAACAATATAAAAAATAAAAGGCGGCAGATGGAGTGAGAGAAATGTTGAATGCAAGTTTACTATAATTATATTTATCTGATTATAAATATTCTATGTATTTTATAAATAGACTACACTGAAAAAAATAGACATGATTTAATTTGAAAAACAAAATCTAATTTGCTAGTAAAGTAAATAATTATTACAAAGTAGCATTGAATTAAACGTGAAATTCTGAAGCTTTTTTTGTGTGTGTGCACCGGAGTAATGGCTGCTGAAAATTCAGCCTGGCATCACAGGAATAAATTAGATTTTAAAATATATTTAAATACAAAGCAATTATTTTGAACTGTAATACTATAATCATATTTCACAATATTACAGTTTTTACTGTATTTTTAATAAAATAAATGATCATTTAAAAATCTCACGGACCCAAGCTTTTGAATGGTGGTGTATAAACATCCTTTCTGTTCATAAACCCAAACCTTTTTAAAGCGTTTTAAACTATTTTTCTAAATTTTATCAAGCTAATTTGAAAAACTTTGCTTTTGTAGTTAAAAGACTGAATTTTTTTTAAAATTTGATTTGAATTTAAATTGACTTGAACTGCACTTCCTTAATTTTGAATTCTGCTTCCTGTTTGCTAGCTCAAATTCAAATTGCAAAATCAGAAACTGAATTGGAATTTAAAATGCATTCTAAATTCAGTTCTGAATGGTGCACAAACGCACTTAAAGAGGTGTTCAGTTCAATTCGGACGCTGCTTTTGAAGGCAAGGCCAGTCAACAGGTTTTGAAACACAACCACTGAGCGTTGACCAAAATCAAGTACTTCAAAGGTTCATCTGCTGTTTTAATGATGAACACATCCTAAGAGCATCAATTCTCTCCAAATTTCAAACATCTGTTAATTGTTAGGGGAAGTGGTCATCTGGCCTCAGACATGAAGTATAAGAGGATCCAATGGCAAGTGCCAAAAAACACACACCCAGACGGTCAGTCCCCAACCTCTAAACCTCCTGTATGCTTCCAGACTCAAACATGTCATTTCTTGACTTCTACTAGAAACAGTGGCAAAAAAAAACGAAAATAAAATTCATGAAATAAAGCATTTTCAGTGTTTTCTGGTTCTATGCTGGAGTGAAAAGTTCAAGTGTGAAGGTCGGCTGTTGTCATGATCATCCCGATCGATAGTGGCAGAAAGAACAGACATTAATCACTAAACTGGTCATTATCAAGCGGTCAAACTTCCAAAACGGAGACTCATCAAGCACAAAAAGTGAGAAATAAACTGGTCTTGGCAAGTTTTTACTGACCTGCTGGCCCGACTTTTTGGAAACTGTAACATAATGCATGACTTCATATTCAATACATGGGTCAAAGACATAAGGGGGGTTTTCAAGCATTTTTTTTTTTCAACAAAAAAAATAATTATATCACACAGTTTACCATGATTTACCCAGACAAAAACTCCCATTAAAGCAGCACTATGTAACTTTTTCTGTGTTCAAAATTTGCTAAATGTATATAATGAGCGAGTACATCATGAATTCATCTTCCAAACCGCATTTTTGTCTTATTCCGAATCACTACGGTACACTTATAATAATAAGTACTTATATTTGGATTATTGTAGCCTGGTCGGGTCGTCACCGCTGTGGAGGAACACATACCTGCGTGAATCGCCAGAGATATAAACTTACAGTAGTTTACAAGTAGCTCCGGTTGGAATGTTCTTCCGCGGGATGTGTGCAGTGCTGTTTATTAACCGCTAGAGCACCAAAAGTTACATAGTGCTGCTTTAAAATGTCATTCAGTGTAACAATAGTTCATTCACCAAAGATCTTGTCAGCCATATTTAGAACCAGAATCATTAGATTCATTAAAAGCCCCAAAAACTAATTAACTGTCATTTTCAACCTTTACCAATCTTTGTCATTATCCTTCAAAATAAGATTTTAGTTATTTAAAATATAATTACATTTAGTATGATCACTTTTATTTTATATATTTTAATAAGTACAGGTCAGATGTTGTTTTATTTTTACATAAATATATCTGTTATGCTGAATAAAGATGGAACATTATTTCACCCATATTTTGACATTTTATTTTCACAAACGTTATTTGAAACATTTAATTAGACACTTTACTTGCATTTAATGTGCTTTCTATGTATATAAAATCACTTTCTGTAAATTTCATTTGATGCGAACACCAAAATGGGTTGTCTTGTCTTTGACCCGCATACATGATTTAATGCAATACTGTATAAGAATGGCAGTCTGATGCAATCCTCCCTGTTATGTTTTAATCTGATGCAAGCGAATAAAAATCCAAGAAACACAAATCTTGCGAAACAAAAACACATTTAAGGAAATGTTGCAAAATACAGTGAAACTGTCTAAGTTCATCCTTCTTTGGTGTGGATGACATTATATTGTACATTAAATGAGCTTTTATAAGAGACTGACCAAATTTATGCAGTTGTTTTTCACTATCGTTCAAAAGTAGGGTCAGTAATATATATATTTTTAAATAAATTAATACTTTTATTCCGCAAGAATCCATTAAATTGATCAAACGTGACAGTAAAGGCATTTACAAATGTTGCAAAAGATTTCTATTTCAAAAGAATTCTGTTCTTTTAATTTTTCCCCCCACAAACACATGAGGCAGCACAACCGTTTTCAACACTGATAATAATCAGAAATGTTTCAGCATATTAGAATGATTTCTGAAGGATCATGTGACACTGAAGCAATTCAGCTTTGCATCACAAGAATAAAATACATTTTAAAATATTTTAAAGAAGAAAACAGTTATTTTAAATTGTAATAATATTTCACAATATTACTGATTTTATTGTATTTTTTTTTACCAAATAAATACAACTTTAGTGAGCATTAGAGATTTTTCAAAAACATTTAAAAAAAAAATCTTTCCAACCCATAACTACATGAAATGTAATTTATTTCAAATAGAGGCTACTTTAAAATGAGCGGGTTTTTTTTCTTTCGGTTTTCATCACAGTTTCTTTGATTTCATTTAAAATTTTCATTTGGGATCATCACTAGTTATGACTAATGTTTTCTGCAATCTACACTTATTGAAAACCATACAGTAGACAGTAGAATGAGAGAAGTGTTATGTTTGGATTCCATGCTTCTTTCCACAAAGTTAGATTTTAAAGACTAACTTTCCATTTTAAACGACAGACGCTTGTGTTAAAAACCATCAGTTTCAAAGTGAGCAGGGAAAAATAATTACAGGAAAGTGCGGAAAATGTAATTATTGTGATGTATGAGCAACACATATGTATAATTCAGACATTATGATTAAGCGGCTAAAGGGTTGAGGTCTGTGATGAGTCTGGCTTTATTTCGCTACACTGTGGGGACAAAACCATTCCCAGAAGTGAGCCCAATCTGACCAAATCATTTCTTGAGGACAGTCTCTGATTCATTGAATAAAGTAAATTAAAGAACACTGTTCCTTAGGGCCTTTTCACACTGAACGATCACACTCGGCGAGAATGTCCTGCACGATGACGCTTTTGAATCGAAACAATAGATCCCTATGAGCCTATTCACACCAGTCAGAGCGCGCTTACTCTAGATCGGTCAATCATGTGATCATATCTCCTGCCCTGCCATATATTCAAAAAAATTGAGAGAAACATTTTTCTACACATGAAATATGAACCTGGACCACAAAACCAGCCATAAGGGTCAATTTTTCGAAATTGAGATTTATACTTCTGAAAGCTGAATAAATAAGCTTTCCATTGATGTATGGTTTGTTAGGATCGGACAATACTTGGTCGAGATACAACTATTTGAAAATCTGGAATCTGAAGGTGAAAAAAATCAAAATACTGAGAAAATCGCCTTTAAAGTTGTCCAAATGAAATTCTGAGCAATGCATATGACTAATCAAAAATTTACAAAATATCTTCATGGAACATGATCTTTAATTAATATCCTAATAATTTTTGGCATAAAAGAAAAATCAATAATTTTGACCCATACAATGTATTTTTGGCTATTGCTACAGATATACCCCCAGTGACTTAAGATTTTTGTGCTCCAGGGTCACAAATATGAATGCAAATAGACATATGATTATGACGATATCTTTTCTGTATGTGTTTTTTATGCAGCTCATGGTATTTTTATAACAATAAAGGATGTTTATGACAAATGATAAGTGGGTGTAGTGTTCAATCCATTATAAAACATACAAAGAGTGCATGTCTGCCTATTATAGAATCAAACTCCACTTCAGATCACAATCGGAAGTTATTACAAGCAGTCGATGAAGGTTTAAAGTGGGTTTTTGTGCAAAAACATTAAGCGGACGATGTTAAAGCTGCATGAATACATACATGAGAAGAAATGCATTTTTGGTCGGCATGCAGGCGTGAATTCGCAGAAGGCGATCAATCACTTCGTGCTCAGTGTGAAACGGCCTTTAGGGTGCAGGTTTGGGTTTTGTCATTCAGACAGCTTGGCAAATGTGTGTAAATGTTGAGTGTGTTTCTTACCGCCCAGGTCTTGCTCAATCTAAAGATGGGAGCGCTTTGCAATGTAGACACCACCGACACCATAGAATGAAGGTTATTCAGCTCTAGAAGTTTCTGCAGACATAGAAAACAAGTGATGATTTGCTATACAGTTCAGAAAACTCAATGCACAAACCACAAAAGGGTGTTTTTAAAGCACAAGAGAGAGTAAACACTGCAAAACATTATGATTTCATCTGGTTTTCCAGAACAAATATCTAAACATTCTTAAATCATCATAAATCACTTACTTTTACATTTACTTCACAGGTAAAAGTACTTAACTCTTGTGCTGTGCTGAAAATCCTTTACCTAATTGTGACCCTGGACCACAAAATCAGTCATAAGGGTACATTTTTTCGAAATTGAGCTGAATAAATAAGCTTTCCATTGATGTATTGTTTGTTAGGATAGTACAATATTTGGCCGAGATACAACTATTTGAAAATCTGGAATCTGAGGGTGCAAAAAAGATCTAAATATTGAGGAAAATCATCTTTAAAGTTGTCCAAATGAAGTCCTTAGCAATGCATATTACTAATCAAAAATTAAGTTTTGACATGTTTATGGTAGGATATTAACAAAATATCTTCATGGAACATGATCTTTACTTAATATTCTAATTATTTTTGGCATAAAAGAAAAATCGATCATTCTAACCCATACAATGTTTATTTGGCTATTGCTACAAATATCCCCCAGTGACTTAACACTGCTTTTGTGCTGCAGGTTCACAATTTAGTTTTGCTGGTTTAAAAATCATTAAAAATTGCTTGTAAATCTCTCATTACACTATATTACCACCAAATCATGGTTTTAATATTTTGTCAGTTAGTTTTTGAGTGAAAAAAGCATTATTTCTGGATCATTTTGGCAAAAACTGAGGTGCATGAGCTCAGATCAACGAGGCCTACGATCAATCAGTTTAAAAAACAAATACAAAACCTGTGCTAAGTGAAAGAAAACAAGCTGACAAAAAAGATTGAATCCAATATTTGATTATATCATAGCATAACAAGAATTTTAAAAGCAATTTTTTTGTAGGCCGGTCATTTTTGACCAGGAAGACCTCAAGTGTAACATGGTGGCGAAACAAATCCCTAACAAGTACAAAAATTATAAACAATTTGGGGAAGTTGTTGTACCCTGTGTGAGCAAAGCATTACTACAAAACATTAGCTTTGGGGGAAAAAAATAAAATATGGAAATGACTTGAACATGAGGGTTAAGATATTTCAAAAAGACAAAAATGAAGTGAGTTGTGCTTAAAACAAGGGGGGGGGGGGGGAAAATCTGCCAATGGGGGCAGAAAAAAGAAAAAAACTTGATTTAAATCTAAGTGCGTTTATGCTTGAAACAAGAAATTGGGGTCTGAAAAATAAACTTAATTCAAAGGGAAAACAAGTTAATATTTTGACCCCAAAGACAGACATTTTTTCTTGTTTTACGCAAAAACTCACTTTATTTTGAAAATTTGCTTGCTGAAAATTCTATTAAAATTAAGAGTAAAAATAAAAAAAAAAATCTTACTCCATCGACAGACATTTTTTATCCTTTTAAATGCAGTTACTTTTTATAACTGTGATACTGCTGTGAAACATTCTGTATTGTATAACCCGCTATAGAAACAAAGGTGACTCGACTTGACCCGTTATGTCATTTTGTTTCTCAAGTAATAGTATCTTGACTTTAGATTAAATTTATATGGCAATTGCTCCCATTTTACTGGTTGCATTTTATCATGTTTTGCTATTAAACATGAAAAGTTCTCACTTCAGAAATGGTTGGGTTGCAATTTGTGAAAACACAGAAAATGCACTTCTAATGAAGCAGACATGTGCTACTGTCTGTTTGTTAGGTTAGATGATGTCACAGCTACCGCCCACACTCAAAACTCCCTTTACTGCTCTCTGATTGGACGCCGTCCACTAAAAGACAGTGACCTTCACTAAGATACAGACCTGCTTTCATCATTACTCCCACAATGAAGACCCAACAAACTCTAGATGGAAAACTGCTTTGGGCTCACTTCAGCAAATTTGGCACGCCTGGATCCACTCCATGACACATGATGACTACAACCTGAGGGTTTTTTTTTTTAGCTTTTGTTCTGCCAGCAAGTGTTCCTCTGAGATTTAGTCATGAGCTTTCTGAAGGATGATATTCCAGCCGCTTCACTGACGTGGCTTGTTTTGATGAGTTTACTGAGATGAAGACAGTACAGCGAAGGGCTCTTCAACTGCTGTCTTTATCCAGATGAAGGGTGGGTAAACATTTGACAGAGTAATTATCAAGTTTAAGATGAAAAACAAAACCAAACTCTTCATACTGTGTGTTCAATTGCATTAAAAGTGAAGTGTGCAATTGCTGTGCCACGAGCGTATTTCCAAAAATAATAACAAAGATTTAGTATCAGCATATTAAACTGTGACAAAGGAAAGCACTTTGAGAAAATTGCAATTGTCACTTTTTTTAAAGGAATAGTTCACCCAACAATGACAAATTGCTGAAAATGTACTCATCTTCATGCCATCCAAAATGGGTTTATTTCTTCATCAGAACAGATTTGGAGAAATGTAGCATTGCATCACTTGCTCAACAATGGATGCTCTGCAGTGAATGGGTGCCGTCAGAATGAGAGTCCAAACAGCTGATAAAAACATCACAATAATCCACAAGTAATCCACTCCAGTCCAGTCCATCAGTTAATGTCTTGAGAAGTGAAAAGCTGCATGCTTGTAAGAAATAAAGCCATCATTAAGATGTTTTAACTTTAAACCGTCGCTTCAGGCCAAAATACGAGTCCATAACCATAAATTCCTCCAGTGAAAAAGTCCATCTCCTGTTGTCTCTCACATCAAAATCCACCCACATATTTGTTTAGAGCTGTTTTGGGCTGTTTTTGCTTGTAAACGGTGCTTGATCTGTGCAGACTTCTCTCCTGATTCAGCCCAGATGATCTTTTCACTGGAGGAAGCATTATTATGGATAGAGGACTTATATTTTAGCCAGAAGCAATGTTTTAAAATTAAAAAGGTCTTAATGATGGATATGTTTCTTACAAACACGCAGCTTTTCATTTCTCAAGATGGAGGACTGCAGTGGTGTGGATTACTTGTGGATTACTGTGATGTTTTTATCAGCTGTTTGGACTCTCATTCTGACGGCACCCATTCACTGCAGAGCATCCATTGCTGAGCAAGTGATGTAACGCTACATTTCTCCAAATCTGTTCTGATGAAGAAACAAATGCATCATTATCTTGGAATGCCCGAGGGCGAGTATATTCAGCACATTTTCATTTTTGGGTGAACTATTTCTTTAAACTGTGGTAGAAGAAAGTACAATAACCTTAAATACAAATATATACCAGCATTTAGTGCAACTGTTGCAATGTTTAAATCAGCAAAATGAGAAATAATATGTCAAAGTACACCTAAATAGTGCCGGGTCATGTTTGAGGAACTATGGCCAGAAAGAGAAAGAGTAAGAAAATGAACTATGGACTGATAATTTTATACTGAGCACTGCTGCGTATTGCAAAGAAAGTGCAATGATCTAAATCAATAAGAGAAGCATATAAAAATGACTACTGCTAATACAGCAACCCTAATGGAGCATTTCTATAGTGTGACTAAAGGTTTCCAAACCATATAGTTGCTAATATGAAAAATTAATAGCAAAACATATGGAAAAAAAGTGTATTTATTAAAATCACATTCTATATTTTGCGAATTTCAGCTCTGGCTTGACTTCATTAAGCTCTTTGTGTAAGGTAATGGAAATTTGAAGGAAAACCGATGCATGCTTATATAATAAAACTAAATAATAATGCTTTGTTGGTCATTTAGTGTGCCATTTGACCTCATTTCAAAGCAGGAACATACTGTATGAAAATCCCTCTGTAGTGCACACTAATGAGGTGAACCGTCAAAGTTGGACAGACAGTAGGGGTGCAACGGTTCTCGGTAAAAAATCGAACCGTTCCGTTCTCCACACACGGTTCGGCATGCACTAGGACCGCGGTTCAACTTAAATCTGACAATGCATCTGTAATATGGTTTGTTAGATATCGGCTAATGCATGTTTCTGTTGATGGATACAAATTTTGCCTTCCCAATACATTACAACAAGAGCGATAAGAGAGAAAAAAACCAATACGTGGACAACCCAGTCACTCTTTAATCAATGCAAGTGTTTTATGCTGGAATAACTGTCATTTATGCCGTCATCACGTGTTGATAACGCAGGTGAGACCTGAACAGCACAAGTCGCTATCTGCGTTTAAACTAAACTCATTTAAGCCTTGCCAGTTTAAATATTAAAGAGCCAGAAGACGTGAACTGGTGCGTGCAGTGAGAAGATCTGTGTGGTCGCTCATCCGAAGCGCGTGAACCCACATCTCAGAACGCGTGCAAATATTAAGCTCTCTGTGAAGTATTGTGTTTGAATGGACAAATTGTGCATTCAGTGCGTTCTCTTAAAGTGACAGCACTTTCTTAATATTAATCAAACAGCAACAACACGGAAATCTCTCACTGCTCTTGATTGAATAACTTTTGTAACTTTTTAATAAGGATTAATCTTGAATTTATTCAGTCTAATATGCAATGTTCTTTTACATTTGATTACTTTATTCAATTTCTGTCTCTAAAAACTAATGTTAGACCTACCTAAACAATCTGAAAAGCACTGTTTATTTTATTTGTATCTTTGCTCTATTGTATTTATTTGTGATGTTGCTTGTAGTTAGATTATTTGTTCTTATTTTCTTTATTTTTATTTGACAATATAGTTTTTTCCTAAACATAGCACACACCGAACCGTACCGAAACGGTGACTCTAAAACCGTGATACAAACCGAACCGTGAGTAAGTTAAACCGTTGCACCCCTAATAGACAGTATCTTAAGACATCATAGACTGTTCCAAAAATGCTGTCTGCAAAGATACCTAGTTGCGGCCAAATTCTAAAGCAGCACTGCATGATGGGAAATCATCACACTTCATCATACTGTATGTATGATGATGTGTGATGATTTCCCATCATGAATGATGCATTTGCAATAGGCAGATTAGTGATCTTTCTTAATAGTTGTACTGTTTTTGTATTGATACAATAAGAATATGATTTTGTAAACTGCTGTTCATTAATGTACCTTTGCGATCTTGATGAAGTGGCTCAGGATCTCGGCACGGATCTTCAGGGTTTGAGCGGTCAGGATTTCCCGTACCAACCAGAAGCTCACCTGAAGAGATAAGAGAAATGTTTATGTACAAAAACAAAAACAAAAAAAGACTCATTTTTAGTAAACATGCCTAAAAACAATGAGCATGTCATACATTTGTGGTGCTGGATTGCACAAAGGCTACCACTGTGACGCTAACATGCATTCATTTGCATGACTTTGGTTTTAGCACGTTTTCAGGGTGTTTTGGACAGTATATGCACGTTGTGATGGAAGGGTGATCTTCCCAAATAATTAGCAAATAAATTGAAATTTGAAGGGATACTTAAAACAATCTGAATGATTTGAGGGAAATAAATAAATACATTTATAAATAAATAAATAAATATATAGTTTATAAATAATTTATATATTCATAAATAATAATTAAACAAAAGAATGGTCAAAACCAAAATTTGAAAACCAGACTCAAAAAGAATGAGAGAGAAAAGCAGAGGTCACGCCACAGGACAGCAATAAGTCAACTTTTCATCTGCGGTTTAACCTCATGGCTCAACTATAGATCTTGTGGAAAACCCATTTCTGATAGACAAAAACAAAAATGCTGGAAATAACTGAGATGGAGGAAAAGTGTTGTTATGTAATGAGTGAAAAATGAGACACTCCGCTCGGATTATAATTGTACGGCAAACACAGAACGCTGGGCGCACAGACTTCGCTTGGCAGAGACTCCAACGCAAGCAGATGCCAAATAAAAGAAAAAGAAAATAGCAAAATTAGAAAGCTGGTGAAGCCTGAGTGATTCTGACCGTAGTAAATAGTTTAAGATTTCGGCCTCAGGGAACCGTTACAACATAACGGGAATCAGGTAACAAACCTCAACGATTTCCTCAAAAGCGGCCTCGATTATATTTCACGCAAGGGGAATCAAACTCCAGAAACTATTTAATGTCTGACAAATAATTAGAAAAAAATTGGCACTCTTGAACAAAGCAGGAACGTGAGTCATTGCAGGTGTAAAAAATATTGCAAGTTGTAAATGAAACAAATATTATTGGAAATTAAAGAAAATACTATTTGAGTCTTTCTACTTAAAATGTTCTTGTTTAATTCAATGCATTACGTATTTATTTGTGAAATCTACTAGCAATTTCTGAGTGAAAACTGTTATTGTGTACTGACTGCAACAGAATTGGGATCTCCTTAGACACAATTTAAAAAATAAAATAATAACAATCCAAGATTAGGACATCAGAGATTAAGTCTTAAAGCCCACCTTTGAAGTCCAAAATCCTAAAGTGTACAAAATGGGGTTAAAAAAAATAAAAAAAATCTTTGCTGGTTTATCAGAGGCTTAAAACAGTCAATTTGTCCACAACCAACAAATGGCCGCAGAACTCTCCGAGGAACAGTAAATATATCTGTAAACTAAGAATATATGGACTGAACCGTCCAAGCAAAAGATGTCTTTTCCATCGACCCTCAGGAAGTCAAAGCTTCCACAACATGATGGAGAAAAAGGCCACCGTAAATTTGGCCCATGACTTTCATCCTTAAAAGAAGACATTAAACTGATCGAGTACACAAAGCTTCAGAATTAACATCTACGAATATACAAGCCCTGTTTCTTAAATCCTAGTGAGCTGCCTTGCTGTCTACTGCCTACATGTGACGTGTACACAAAACACGCATCTGAGGGGCCGCGAACCCAGGTTTTACTAGACTTCTTTACTCATTAAATGGGAATGTTGTTTGAAGCCAACGCTGTCTGACAATGAAAAGAAATTGATTAAAGATGGGTTTAAATTACTTAAATATTTGTGACTACAGGGTCATTCTGTGTCAAATCAAAACAAATTGCAGAGACTTCTGAAGGAAGACCAACATAAATAGAAATGAAAGACAAATATTAAATGTCATGGATGTATTTACTGTGGGACTTGTGATTGTTATGTTGTTTTTACACAGAGATTGGCTTGTCTACTAGTAAAATCTATTGACTTTAGCAATCTTTGTTGCATTATATGCCAATGGTGGCAGCTCAAAAATAGGGAAAAAAGCACTTTGTGTGTGTGTGTGAGCTTCTTTTCCCCCAAAGTTGGCATGCCTGTAATTCAAGTATCCTTTTGGATTTTGGTTCTTAACAAACTTTTCTTTCGCCATCTCAAATTTTAAGACCCTATATGGTTTAATCCCAGAGATATTTGGATCTCAATGTGGCTTTATTAGTAAATTATTAAACGTGATTGTTATGTTGTTTTTACACAGAGACTGGCTTGTCTACTAGTAAAATCTATTGATTTTAGCAATCTTTGTTGCATTATATGCCAATGGTGGCAGCTCAAAAATAGGGAAAAAAGCACTTTGTGTGTGTGTGTGTGTGTGTGTGAGCTTCTTTTCCCCCAAAGTTGGCATGCCTGTAATTCAAGGATCCTTTTGGATTTTGGTTCTTAACAAACTTTTCTTTCGCCATCTCAAATTTTAAGACCCTATATGGTTTAATCCCAGAGATATTTGGATCTCAATGTGGCTTTATTAGTAAATTATTAAACTGTACACAAATATTTGTAGTGGAACTGAGTGACTCTGGGTCATTCTGTGTCAAATCAATCAAAGTTCAGAAACTTCCTGGCTAAAATTTTTTTATTTTGTTAATGTTTATTCTGAAGAAAGAAAAATATAAATAGTGACAAAAGCCAAAATATTAAATGTCAAGGATGCATAATCCACTATTTTGTAGAAGGGGGTCAAAATGACAATATTCACCTTTGATTTGGACCCAAAATACAGATGGGTAAAAAGGACTTTAGAAAGATGGCAGCATCATGATGTTATTTTTACACAGAGATTGGTAGTTCTATTAGTAAAATCTGTTGACTTTAGCAATCTTTATTGCATTATACGCTAATGGGGACAGTTCAAAAGTACGAAAAAAGCATTTTTGGTGTGTTTTTTCTCCTCCCCGACGTTGTCATGCCTGTAATTCAAGAAGTATTAAATATAACTTTTTTTAAATATATTTTGGATTTTGGTTCTTAACAAACTTTTCTTTTAGTATCTCAATTTTTAAGACCCTGTATGGTTCAATTCAGACAAAAATGTAGTGTCAGCCAGAAAAAAAGCTTTCATTGGCTTATTCAATGTCATCCCCTCATTAATGAATCATTTTAAAAACAATAAAATTGCATTTGTTACCCTGAGGAAAAATTTCAAACTACTCCTCCTTCATTTCATAAATGATAACAGACACTTTGGTGCCATCTTTATGAAGATAAACATGCAACGCTTGAGTCATAGTCATTGAGTTATGATCTAAAGAAAATGAGCTTCAAAGATGCTGGCCAAAATGTCAAGTTTTGCAGCAATTGTAGGGAATGGGACAAGCGTATCATAGCGCGGCAGCTGTGTTAGGTTAAAATATATGAACGCCGCTTTGCTAGATAAGTCATGTGCAATGATGACATAGCTTATAGCTCATTATCAAATCATTTACACATTATAAGAGCTCTGGTTGGTATAGAAACCTGTGGAGAAACGGGGCACAGCGCTTACATTTCTTGGCCCGGAGATGATGGTTCTTTTTCCAAAGTGGTTGTAAAGTGGGTTTTACCAAAGCGTAGAGCTGTGACCCCCTTCATGAAAGAGGGTGAGCTCATCTGGTTCATTCCTACCCATAATGCCTTCAAAACGGCTCTGAAAGCTTCCCCTCATTAATGAATCATTTTAAAAACAATAAAATTGCATTTGTTACCCTGAGGAAAAATTTCAAACTACTCCTCCTTCATTTCATAAATGATAACAGACACTTTGGTGCCATCTTTATGAAGATAAACATACAACGCTTGAGTCATAGTCATTGAGTTATGATCTAAAGAAAATGAGCTTCAAAGATGCTGGCCAAAATGTCAAGTTTTGCAGCAATTGTAGGGAATGGGACAAGCATATCATAGCGCGGCAGCTGTGTTAGGTTAAAATATATGAACGCCGCTTTGCTAGATAAGTCATGTGCAATGACATAGCTTATAGCTCATTATCAAATCATTTACACATTATAAGAGCTCTGGTTGGTATAGAAACCTGTGGAGAAACGGGGCACAGCGCTTACATTTCTTGGCCCGGAGATGATGGTTCTTTTTCCAAAGTGGTTGTAAAGTGGGTTTTACCAAAGCGTAGAGCTGTGACCCCCTTCATGAAAGAGGGTGAGCTCATCTGGTTCATTCCTACCCATAATGCCTTCAAAACGGCTCTGAAAGCTTCTGTTCCCACTCCATAAATAATGAACTGGCAAAGAGCACTACAATGTTTTGAAGGCCAAAGTTTCTGCTCAGTTGCCATGACGATGGAGCACAATGTTTCCATGTATAGTTCCTGCTCACCTGATTTCACTAAAAATACAGAGCTGATTTATTACATGGACAAACTCTACTAGATATTTAGCAGAGTTTTTGAGTAGGGCTGCATGACTTTTCTGAAATATAAATATAAAAATTACTTACAAAACAACAAAATAAACAATACTATTGTAATATTTCACCATATAATAAAAAATCTAATATTTAAGAAAAATAAATAATATAATAATTTATAAAATAAAATCATTTATTTTACATTATATAACAAAATGCAATAAAAAAAAAATCCAGGTTTGCTGTGCTAGTTTGCCGGCCTGCAAAATTTGGACAAAATTCTGTGATTATATATGAATACAGATATTATAATAATAATAATAATAATAATAATAATAATAATAGTAAATGTTCAAAAAGTAATTGTTGTTCCTACTAATAATTAAAAATATAAAAATGTCTACAAACAACATAAATATTACTATTGTTATATTTCACTGTAAAATAAAAAATCTAATATTTAAGAAAAATAATACAATAATATTACTTTTACTTATATTAGGAACTGAGCCTCTTAGATGCTGAATCATTACCTGCTTGCATGTAAATGAACACATGCTTCACTCTGAAACACAGCACATTTCTTTATTTCATTAAATACATTTTAATGATTCACATTAAGTTTTTATTTCTATTAATCATGCAGCCTTGCTT